GACATTGAAGCCGACGAAGGATGCAACTCTGAGGCTGGACGAAGCCCTTCGTGCAATTCAGAACATCCATCGGTTGGTCCAAGATCCGACCACGACCATCCGATTCCATGGACTGACAAAGCCTTCCCAGTCAACCGACCGGGCAATCCCATTTCTATGGATGATTTCGAGTCGCAATCAGCCGGAAGCTTGGAGCGAAGTCAGGCGAGTCTGTTATCACGCCATTTGGCAGTTAGTGAGGACCTCCATCAGGCCACAGGGCACAGAGAGGAGCAATCTGTCCAAGGGCATTCAGCAGAAGTTAACCAAAGGATAGTCCGGATCATGATGAATCCTGGCAACATCTGCTTTGCAAATGCTCTGGTGATTTGCCTTGCATGGGCAACTCTGACGGCAGGGACTTTGGATCCACAGTGGTGGCCCCTTGGGGGATTCGAACTTTTCAGATCGGTCACAGCGATCAGTGGGATACCGTTGAATTTACTTACATTTCAACCTTTCCTATGGCTGTTGACAGATGGGTGGACAATTACAGACATGGATCGACAGCAAGATGTGGCAGAATTTGCCCATTGGTTTTTGCAACGTACGAAACCCTTGTTTGTCAATTGTGCGTGGGTTGCACGCTTCATGCGTGGCGGGATGGAAAACGATCCGAGTGTGAGCCATGAAAAAGGACATCCTCATGGTTTGATTCAACTGCCCATTTTCGACGCCCATGCACCAACATGTTCACTTCAGAATTTGATTGACTCGTGGCACGATGACCTAGGTCTTTGCCGATCAGCTACACAGGTTGGACGCACCATTGTCCTTTCGATCAGCAGGTTTCTGCCAGACACGACACAGAAGTGTGCGCAAAAGATTGTCTTCTCCAACACTGTCAAATTTCCCAGTTTCATTGATGGTTCTTCTGATGTACATCATTTTCAGTATTTGATCAGTGGATTCATCTTTCATTTGGGACAGACGCCATACTCCGGACACTATCAAGCTGCAATTCGATGTCGAAACAAATGGTTTCTGTATGAAGATGGCCAACTCCCTGAACAATGCATTGACCTTCCAGATCATATACTCCAAAATACCGTTTTGTTTTGGTTGCACCCACTGGATGGAATTGCTGCCAGGGACATCGAAGAACTTCGTGAGTCGCGAGAGCGCAACATTGCGGAGGAGGACACAGCCATGTGAGTTTTGCACACATCCTTTGAATATGCCAACATGCAACTTATCTGCATTGGGCGGCTTCTCTTGCACTGCTGCTTGCTGCGCTGTCTTCATGCTGAGCTGCTGTGGGGCAGCTCTGACGGCTGCTGTGGCGCGCTGTGCATGCGGCTGACTTGCGCTGTTGCAGCTGCGGTGCACTTGCGGCGACTGAGAGACCTTAGTTTTCCGTTGTTTCATTTCTCCACTTTTCTTTGGGAGACCTATTGATCGTAACACTAACAGCCACCTGTGTGCGAACAATTTTTGGTCTCAGGATGCCCCAAGGGGTACTTTTTACAAAGGGTTTGGTAAGCCCACTAGTGTTGCCACGGACGAATTTGGCATTCACTGGTGGCCGTTGGTAAAAGATCAACGCTGGGCTCGCCTGCCGTCTCGAAGAATTGGGGGACGTAGGGGTAGCAAAAAAAAAACACACACACACAGACAGACAGACAGACAGACAGACAGACAGAGAGAGACAGACAGACAGACAGAGAGAGACAGAGAGACAGACAGAGAGAGACAGAGAGACAGACAGAGAGAGACAGAGAGACAGACAGAGAGAGACAGAGAGACAGACAGACAGAGACAGACAGAGACAGAGACAGAGAGAGACAGACAGACAGAGAGACGGACAGACGGAGAGACAGACAGACGGACAGACGGACAGACACAGAGACACAGACGGACAGACAGAGACAGACAGACACACAGACACACAGACACACAGACACGAGACACAGAGACACACAGACAGACAGACAGACACAGACAGACAGACAGACAGACAGACAGACAGACAGACAGACAGACAGACAGACAGACAGACAGACAGACAGACAGACAGACAGACAGACAGACAGACAGACAGACAGACAGACAGACAGACAGACAGACAGACATACATACATACATACATACATTGACATACATATTATATATATATATCTGTCTGTGTGTCATGATGCACACCCAAGCACATAAAAGGATGAAGTAAGAACATTCATGAAATGGCATCCAGAAGTGCCACATGTCCTGAAGCACATCAGAAATGCCTGATTGCAAAACAGCCCGCGTCTTTACGGGCGGCGTTACCTTTATTTGAGGTTTGAAAGCCTGAGTGAATGCAACGCGTGGATTACAAGAGTTCCAACTGAATCTAACATTGCAGATGGCGCTTCGAGGTTCGAGATACAGGAACTTATGCAGAGCGGTTGTGCTCGCGACCACGTGGATTGCATGACAATCTGGCAGTCCTTTGTGCAAAGGGGGAGGCAGCCGACCAGCATGCCAACCCCAATGGACAAAACAGTGTGTTGCAATGCGAAGGTCATCAGTGCAAAACTTAAGAAAGCAAACCAACAGTAAGCGACCTAAGTTTTGCAGTGATGTGATGAATGTCCTCCCATGAATCAACTGAAAATTTGGTTTGAAGGTTTGAATGTCAAATTTGTGAAGCCTTGGACAATGGTCCCAAACTTTGTTGTCAATACATGTCGTGTAACAATGTCCTTTCGTTTTGAGTTTCACGCCCTGTTGCAATGCGAAGGTCATCAGTGCAAAATTTAATAAAGAATTCCCAAATTTACATGCCGAAACAACTCCTTACAAATTCGAAACACCAAATTTGCAACATCAAAATTTTTGTGAGAAAAACGTCACATTTACAACATCAGATTTACGTTATGTGAGAAAAAAACAACATGGAAATTTACGTGAGAAAAAAACGCCAAATTTGCAACCTCAAAATTTACGTGAGAAAAAAACCGCCAAATTTACAACAGCAAAATTTATGTGACAAAACGAAACCCAAATTCACAACATCACTTACAACATCGAAGACAACATTGGACGTGTGCCAAAACACTGATATAGGCAAGAGATTGAACCAAATTATCCATGATTGTTGCATCCCCAAAATGTCTTTGAAATAGAAAAAAAGTAAACCACAGCGGTGTCCGTGTTGCCTTTCCAAACCTTTTGGTAGCTGCACCCCTTGAGGGGTTTGGTAGTCTTCGTTGACGCGCAATGCATCCCAAAAAAGGAGACGGCCCCGAGGTGGAGTTCCACTGTTCCTCACTGGCCCATGCCACCAAAGATGGCGCTTTATTTTCATACAAATGTGTATAAATATAAAAAAAATATACATGCACATTTATGTATACGTATATACACGGATAGGACAGGTTTCTCCAAGACTTGGGATGCAGATCTATGTAGTGAAACAGTTGCGCGTTGAAGGTGACTAGGATTCCCTTTGCTTCAAACAGAAACATACTGCCACCCGTAACCAAAGAATGAATAGCACCTGGTACAACCATAGAAAAACAAATAAATTTGTAGTGACTGAGTGACTCGTTGAACGAAAATTCTGTCGCCATGTGATGTTTCGGTGATCATTGGCTCAAGCCGGGTTGGGCGTATTGAACCATCACAAAGAGAACAAAATCCGAGGTATCTTGGATGGTCAGGGTGGAGGTTGTTATTGTTATGGCTACGGAAGTTCCCAAGGGGATTAACGGGGATCAAAGGGGTGTTGTTGGAGGAAATAATGATGATTCAATCGATATTACTTGGTACTGGTTGACATTAGTTGGATGAAGTCGGGCATCCTTCCAACTTCACAAATTGGATTTGGTGCTAAGCTGCGTTTGGAAACCCATCAATTGTACCAAAAAAGGGCATTGACCACTTCGTGATTAAAACTTCTGGCCTTTTCTCCGCCGATAGGTAGATGTAAGATTTGGTATATAACGCTGATTGTGTCACAAAGATGAGTACATATTGGAAATATCATATTCCTGCAAACTACTTGTGTCCGCAACACCGCAATCATTAAGCTAGACTTTTCACTGGCCAGCCTCACATGGCGAACCCTTGTTATTTGGTTTTATACCACATCATTTCATGCATTTTTTTTCCCGCATCCACCTTGGAAAACTCTCACTATTTGTTGGTAAGATGTCTCACTGTTTCTTGCCAAAATAGATGTTATCCGCAGTGTTGGTGAAACCTCACAGGTTTGTTTAGTATTCTCCATGTGTTTCTGTTGGGTGATCTCCGCTTTGTTGGCTGGATCCTTTCTTCATTCATACATGGTATCCCATGACAAATAACATTTGTTGATGAGTCGAGTCTTTAGCATGGCGGTGAGTGGAACAGTCACCTCCTACAACCCCCACAAGGCAGGGTACCGACCGAACGGCTGTCGTTGGAAGGATTGGCTGTTCAACAGGAATTCCATACCTCTTTCAAGCTCAAAGAAACCAGGATTCGAAAATCATTTAGATCATTTCTTCCAGTTTCTGTTTTTCAATTCGTTTGGGGTTTGTTAACTTTGCTACCTCTAAATTGGTGTCTGTAGATGATCCCTGTAAGGAGTCGAGTCGAGGGAACCATGTTTTCTGCGAACTCCGTGAGTTTCTAAACAGATGACCACTGGGTATGGGTTGGGGCTTTGCAAAGGAATCCGAGAATAGGTAGGATAGCATATGAAAATGGTATAGAATTGAGACATCAACCCACCACTGGTCGGTGTTCACCCAGTTTTTTGGGAGATCCATCTCTAGACACTTTGTGTGTTGCTGCTTTTGCTGGCTTCTGATTGGGACCAAGCTGCAGTTTGAAGTAGGGACATAGAAAACATAAAGGTCAAATGCAGAGGTCGATTAACAATTTCATTCAAGGGACTTGAGTTCTTGCATCACGACAACTTGACACCTTGTCAAATTTAAGTGGCATTAGTGATCGTGCCACATACTCATCAACTGCCGCTGCGGTTTTGGGAAGCCATGGTCTCCAGAGATGCTGCCGGGGTTCAAACTGCATTGAAGGTTAGCGACCATGATGGGTTTCCAAGAGTAGGACTAGGACACAAGAAATCTCCGCCGCCGCCTATTACTCCAGAAGAGCAGGTTGGCCGAACGAGAACACCACCTGCCGTGACTCCAAGAAAAGTGTCTAGACCAAAGGTTCACCATCTGGAAGACCTTGCAAGGCCAGAAAAACGCCCTGCCACAGAAGCAGAGTCGAGAAGCCAGGACTTCTTCGGCTTTGTCAAGGAATCCGAAAGCCAGGACTTTTTCATCTTCTTCGAAGAGTCCAAAAGCTGGGAGTTCTGCGTCTTCTTCGAGGAGTCGCTCCCCAAAGGCCAAACCGAAAGCGTTCCTCGATTCGGAGCACCACAGGATCAGCTGGTTTCAGTTTTTCTAATTTCGGAGACTTAGAGATCTCTTTCACAACATGTCTTGCAGCGTTCTTTCATTCCATCTGTTCTCCTTGTAGTTTTCCATGTTCTGCATTTTGCACGACCTCTTCGCAACTGTAGGTCTTTCACTTTTCATCAGAGAGTTTCCAGCGAGTTTCCAACTTTCTGTCAACACCATCTCGGTAGTGACCAAGGCCTTCCAGTGGTGCACAAAGGCCCGAGTCTCGACGATCTCCGGTGCGTGGGCGGCTGTGGGGTTTTGACGTGGGCAAGTATGGCCATCAAGTGAAAAGTGCGACGGCCGATTTCTTCATGTGGCTTATTCGCATGATGTTACAAGACACTGATCACACTATTATATAAATCAAAAGTGTTGCTGATTTGAACATTTCTGAAGCGTATTAAAACACCATGGACATCTGTCAGCCACAACTTTCGCAGTGAGGCGCTTGCTTCATTCTAAACCTGGTGATGTTCCATTCGGGATCTACAAGACAGTCAAGGATGCGAACGGCAACTTTCAGTCCACGCTGCGACTCACTAACAGAGCTCAAGCAGCTGCCCGTTTAGGTAACAGGGAGTACAAAGGCGAAATGTGCGGCAGCAAGATAGAAGCAGAGGTGTCAGCAGCCCGCGTATTTTGGGAGGATCCTCGAGTCCAAGAGAGAGCCGAAAAGCTGGAGCCCTCAAAGAAGGCTCGAAAGCACAAGAGACGCTGCGCAGAGCGCAATGCAGAGCGCAAAGCGCGACGGTATGGCACATGCGTGGCGGGTTCATAGAAAAGGCGCTGAATCGTACCGTGTGGCTTCTTGACGCTTCCGCACTTTCATGGCTACTAGCGGTACTAGCGTGCCTTGCGTTGCAGGTGAAGGCTTTGGAGACTGCCTGACCCTCAGAGCCTGGTCTTTCGGTTCACCTGATTTGGTGTCCGAGAGAGTGGGGGTGAACGCATCGAGCGAATCGAGCTCAGACAATGATTTTGTGCAGCAGGGGCTCCAATCATTGGTTTCTAGGCACCAGTATTTTTTTTTATACCAGAAACTATCTCGTTTATTCTTCTTATCCACCATTACTTGAAACACAATTGAAAATGCAACGGATGTATCCCCACTTGTCACGCAGCAACAGGTCGGGGGGCATCTCCACTCTGTAGTAGAAGGATAAGTATAACTTTGGCATAACCATGGCACAACAACCTGTATGACTATAGCATAACTACGGCATAAATATGGTGTAAGTATGGCATCACAGCGGCGTAACGGCGACAAAGGGATACCGGCAACACAATTTGGAATTGAAGCAACAAGTACGGTGCACTATGGTGCACTCAATTATCAAGCAAGGCAAAAAGTCGCTAAGATTCACTTGGTGGCAAAAACAGATCTGGGATCAAAACTAAGTAGCTTATGTTCCCAAATTGGATGGTTGCAGGTGTGAACACGACCAAATTGTGTAGCTCCTAAGGAGTCTTGAATTTTGACGCAAACACATCTCAGCAATTCTTCCCACCCGAAAACGGATGTGCACAGGGACAGACACATGCTGTTGGGGATATCCGAGGGCTTGACCGCCTTGGCGGAGAGCACCACCACGGGGCTCAGCGCGGTGGACGATCAGCAAGGGGAGGAGGCAGAGGGGCTATGGGTATAGGATACCTATGGATACCTATGGTTTAAGGATGTGTATATATATATATATATATACATATGTGGCATATGTGTATATATAATATAAGTATACATACATATATATATGTAATGTATGTAGAACTGATCTGTATATTTGATGATGTTTTTATATAACATGTCATAAGCCATGTGCAGAACTGGGCTGAGTCCCAATTGAAATGGGTCATAGCCAGAGTTAGTAGCCACATGCTGGTAAACCACGATGGATGCGAGAGACTTTTCAACATCTGCTGGTTTTAGGTGTTGAGAACTGTGAGTTCACTGCATTTTTGCCAACAGAATTATCAATTACAGTTGAAGTGGGAACCCAAATCTATGGTCCCTACCAATTGCGATTTATGCCATTGTTGTGCCAAAGTTGTACTTGTACCACGAGTATGCAACATTTACGCCATAGTTATGCCAAAACTACACTTATATACCACAGTCAGGCAGTTTTCCAATTTTTATGGCATATTTGTGCTAGCGGGGTACCTCATGGCCAAGTTTACCAAAGTTTTGGAGGGGTAGCAGGTCTGTTAGGAACGGGATGGGTCCACATTCTCGTTTGGTCATCTTGCTCATTGACCTTTCTGGTTGATCAAAGCCCCATTTCTGTCACTTCAATCTCACATTTTTTTGGATAAAATTGCACCAGATGTGGGCAACCTTCTCAGATTGTTTGGGCAAGCCGCACCGAAAACTATATGGTGATAGAAACCACAAACTGATGCCTGCGCCGGAGATTTTTCACAATGGAAAATACCACATTTATTGGATTATCTGTGACACACCTATTGAAATGCTGATTTTCCATAGCAAAGTGTGAGTTCTTATTGGAGGGTTACACGGTTCAAACATGTCACATGGGTTAGATCGCCTGTGCCCAACAATGTTGCCAGAGGCCAAATGGATTGGAGAGAAGTCTGCAGATGGCCGTACCTACTACCGGAGTCGCAAGAGTTACTCTGGCAAGACGCTGTGTGCCGAGAATGGACTTGGAATCCCCCAATTTCAAACAGCTTTGGGGGGCTTGGTACTAGATATATTTGAAGTCAACTGGGGATTCCTCGCTGCGATGATGTTTTATTTTTCGCGAAAATCAGTGCGTGTCCTCAAAGAATGAGTCTCGCTTACGGTAAAGATATGGTACATGAACATACTTGATATAAACTGGTTGGTGGTTTGGAACATGAATTTTATTTTCCCAATGTATATATATATTGGGAATGTCATAGTCATAATCCCAACTGACGAACTGATATTTTTCAGAGGGGTAGGTATACCACCAACCAGTTTTGACCATGGGTTTTCCACGACATCCGCCACAACCTGAGCTGGGCCTCAGCCAAGGATTTGCGACTTTCAAATCTGGCATCGCAAAAGAATGCGGATATCAAAAAGTTGCAGTTGCAAATCCCAACCATTCACATTACTCTTACTGCAGGTTAACTTATATGCTATGGCTATAACTATACATGCAATGCTATATACGTAATTATATAGAAAAACTTGAACAGAATTCAACGATGTTCGCCACAGAAAGCCACAGAAAGCCAAGGGTTGGAGATGTTGGAGTCCCCATTTTTGTTGGACCTCTCCAAGAAGCAAGGTAAAGAGACGGTGCGGGTCTTGCCCGCCTTGGACCCTGAGAAAAAGGAGATGACTGGCTCATCCCCAACAGAGGGTCTGGGGCTGTCCTCAGATTTTCTGATTGTTTTGGCATTCGAATTAGATGTGTTTCCCCACTATCTCAGTACACAGTAACGAATTTTAAACTGCTTTTGCAAACAAACCTGGTGGCTTACCTTTCCGTCAGCCTGGACAAACCTTGGTTGCCCAGGAATAGGCCTCTCTGGTTTTGCTGGGGTGCAGTGCTGATACATGGGCTGCTTAAATCCGTTGGTTTCAACACACAACTCATGTGGTTTCGATGGGTTCCCATTCCGAAATTTGTTAGAGAGAGAGAGAGATTGGAGTAAGTGAACAGAAGTAGCCCAAAAAATACGCAACATCATGGTGGTTATGATAAACCTACAAGGTGGTGCCCCCCCCAGTTATGCTGGTTTACCTTCTTAAACCCACCAACATACCAGTGAATCAAACCAACTTTGCTAACTAAATCCCATGAAACCTCATTAAACCCCACTACTCCCCATTAAACCCCATTAATTCCCATGAAATCAGCCTATTTTGCTGGAAAACATCCCTGGCTTGAGTCAGCACAGCCCCAGGAGCCAGAAGCATAGTTGTTGTTTCCCAGGGCTGAAGGATGTTGTTTTTCAGTTCCTACAAACAAATTGCCTTCCAAGTGATCCAGGTTTTGATGGACCTCACTGCGACCTCACGATAATCATACGGTTAATAAGGGGAATCATCCCCAAATGGCCTTAATTCAGGTTAGTGAAATATTATAATTTACCCAGATAATATATATATATAATTTAGCACATGTAATTCAACAGACATGCGCTTGAAAACCTGGTTTGCATGTGCTTAGAATCTATAATATATAATCTGGATGGAGTGGAGTCATAGAAGTCCCCTGAATCACAGGAGGAAGTAAGAAGAGAAGGAAACTTCTCCAGAAGAGCTCAAAAAGTGGCTGGGCAGTGCAGCCATTTGGGGGCCCATTTTCTGGAGTGTCAGTTTCGTAGATGCGAATTGTGTGACTTGATTCTGGGGGTTGCCGATTAGTGACATACTTCATTTATTTGGATTTTGATTTCGCTTGTTTGGTTCTTAAATGTTCTTAATTTGAAATTATCTCTTATGTTTCGTGCGCAAAAGGTTTCTTCTCTGGCACCCTGCCGTAAACAAATAGCAGTACATTTAATTTAGAAGGGGGCTACGATCTATTGTGCGTTTGGGATTAACTCAAAGATCATTCCCAATGATGAGCCATCTCAGCCATGAGATTTTCAATCATCCCATTAAGGCCCTGGTCGATGAAGCTCTCAGCCCCGCGCACCGCGCACAGTGCGTATCCGTGCTTCCTAGGCAGCAGCAAGCACTCCAAGAGGCCTTGCTCAGCTCTCTGCCCGCTGATGAACAGCCGAAGTCGGGGGGGCAAAGATGGGTTTACGGAAACCAGAAGGAACCGGATATACAGTTAGCCAAGGTACGAGATGGTTCAACCTACCATAGGCTTTAGTAGGGCTACTTCCCCAACTCATGGGGTTGTACCTGAAAGCCAGCCTGAGTGAAACATGAGAAACTCAAGTCTTTTTAAGATTTTTAAGTGGCCTCCCAAAAACAAAGCAAACTATATTTCAGGTTCACCAAAATAATACACTTGGATCATCAGATCATGCCACGGATCGTAAGTTGTTAGTCACCTGATCAAGGCAAAACCCACAGGACACTCCGGTTGATGTGGGGGGTCTAAAGACACTGATTTCAACCGTTCATGTTCTCTTCAATCAATTCATCGAGCATCATTTTTCTGGTTTAATCAAGTTTAATTCGGAAGTGAACACTGGTTCACTGGTTTAGTCCCCATTTTTGTTGGTATAAAATCCGCGGGTTCAGGCAAACCAAGTTTGATTTCTCGCTCCACGGGCTGTTTTTTCTTCCCAAGGCACGAACGCCAAACCTCCCCGGAGCCGAGCCCCAACTCCGATGCGGCGGCAGCAGCTCAGGAGGCGCTTCAACATGCCATCAGGTGGTTATGGGTCACTTCCAGATCATGAATGTATTATATATACATAATTGGTTACAGGGTTGTTTCGGGCGTTTGTTTTTGCGCGTGTTTGGAGAGCGCACCAGGCCATGCTTTCATAATTATATATGTTGTTGTTGCTGTTGTTGCTGTTGTTGTTGTTGTTGTTGTTGTTGTTGTTGGTATCGGACGTCAACCTGCTCCTCACTGAAGTGAAGTAGTTAAGACGCCTTTGTTGCCCAGCAGCGGAGCGGTCACTCCACACATGACCGGCGAAACCGGTCAGCAACCCAACCTTAAAATCAAGTCACCAAGTGAGGTTTAATCCTCCATGTCCAACATTGCGCGCCAAAAGCGCATCGTGTTGTTTCATAATTATATATACACGCACATATTATCACACACACACATATATATATATATCTCTCTCTCTCTTGACACGTACCCATAAATTCCATAAATCCGTTTATACAGTACACACCTTAGTCGCCTTAGGCCCCGCTGAACTTTTTCAGAAGGCGATGGAGAGAGATGTTCACATTTTTTGTTTACACATACACTTAAGTATGATATGTATGATATATGCAAGAACTTGTGTACAGATATGTACAGATGTATGTGTAGACCTGCTTTTTCCCGGCGTCACGTGACATGGCGCCCAGCTATGGCAGGCAAAGGAACCAGAGAAGGACGCCCAGCATGGGCTCTGTGAGGTGGTCATCGTGAAAAAATCTAGCGTTTCTTTGGTCATTTGTCGTTTGCAGATGATTTTCATCCAACTATTGACAGTTACTGGATTGTTCTTTATTATGTTTTCTGTCGGCCATTCCAAAAAGGTGGTACAAAAACCAGTCATGTGAACGATGGTGAAAAAAACGCCAATATCGATAGATAGATCTATCCTAGACCTCCATACTTGGCCTAGTTATAAACGAACAAAAATCCAACCGAATCCCATTAAACCCCATGTTAAGCCCCCTTAAATCCTATGAAATTCCATGAGAATCTGATTAAATCCCATCTATAAACTAACTTTGAATACTTGGTTAGTAGCAATTAATAGCTGTTAAACCCTAAGCCCCAATAAATCACCATCAAATTACAATCAAACCTCATTAACCCATAAAACCCGTGCGATTCCCGGAAGCAAAGTTCATGGTGTTCATGGCACAGGAGGTGGCGAAGAACGGCCGAACTTCCCGTCGCCATCACCGAACGATCAGAGCTGGCGACTTGGCGATGGCGACCCAGCTGCAAACCAATGGGCCTGGAGTTGCTGGAGCTTTCCAATGGTTGCTTCATGAGGTGAATTTAGGCCAAGCCAAGATCGGGATGAATCCCTCACCACGTGTCCCCAGGCATTGCCCAATTTGTTGCGCAAGGCGGGGAACTGGTTTATTTTGCTATGTTCCAGCTCGGTGTGTTTTAAAAAAGGGTTAACCTGCCCAGTTCATGGCCGTATTTTTTGCTGGCAGGTCTTCAGAAGCTTACACATGAATGGGATGTGACAATCTTATCCATGGGCCCCCGGACACCAGCATGGAAACCATATTTCACGAAAGCTAGCGGTAGCTAGCTGAGTAACTTTTGCTTCAGCAAGGGGAGGGGCAGGTCTGAGCCCAACACAGTGATTTTTCACTTACCTCCCCCCCCAAGCTCCCGGGGTATTTTAATTGAAATTGGCAGCAGTTCTTTAGGAAAAACAATTCGCAGGAGCTTTCGGGAACTCATTTGCACCCAAAAAAACCGTCTATTTCCATCTATTTCCAACAAATATGCTCCAAAAAAACAAAGGAATATATTTCTGAAGATTTCTGAAGCAGGTCAGCATTCAATAGCTTTCAAAGCCACACTGCGATGAAATGGAGGGTCGGGCAATCCGGCGGAGCCGACGATGAGTGTGAGCTCAAAATAGGGGGAAGAGGTTATTAGGTATGTGGCCATTCCTAAGGGTCCTTACTTTTGAACACATGATTTTTAATGATTTGTCTATGCAGAATGCTTTGGCTGCATACATTGCAATTTCTTTGCTCTGGCCAGGTCGTGATTGTCGTGTCTTGCCGAAAAAGGGCGTTTGAAATTTATGTTCCTTTATGGATTTTATGGATGACAAAGTATACAGCAAGAGATGCATAAAAAAGGAATGACATAGGTTTGGGGTCCGCTATCCAACATGTCATTTGGATCCGATGCGCCCCAACTTGCCGTGGATCCTAAAGTTCCCACAAAGTTTGATCCCACCATTGAAATTGGAATTCAGGGACGCCCCACGACAGCAATTTGGTTATCGATGCGTTTGCTGTTCCGCAATTCTGAGACCTCTAGAAAGGGCATGAAAGGGTCGCCAGACAAGCAAAGGGACGACCATGGAAATCCCTGGATATTTTTTTGAATATAAATGCATTAGGTCTCTGTGCCTACCTGGAGGTGATTTGAATTGATATCATTTTCCAGACTGTTAGTTTGTCTGCAAAATACATCCTATGGTTTTATCATCAGCTAGTTGTGCGGCATCCCCTGTTCGGAGATAAACCCATAGTACGACAGACTTCGTGCCAAGGAATTTTCGGTCAAAGCGGACACCAGCCCTGGACAGTTGGTCGGAGTGGTTGGCTGTGCTCCAGAGTCAGCCTGGCATGCATTGAGGAGGATGTGAGTCGAACATGTTTGCAATATTTTGCACTTAATTATGTCTTCTTGTGGCAATGTTGTTTGGATGTGGAACCCCACCAGTTTGAGTAGGTATACCCCCCAGGTTTGATTGGTCACGCTCACAGCTTTGTATCTCTTGGTCGGCAATATCCCCCTGTCGGTTCGGGATCTATCCCTTTATACTACTCTATTGACTCAATTAATTAATCATAATTATCACTGTGCGCGAAGTGTTTCTATCTCACTCACTCACTCACTCACTCACTCACTCACTCACTCACTCACTCACTCACTCACTCACTCACACTCACTCACACTCACTCACTCACTCACTCACACTCACTCACGCTCACTCACACTCACTCACACTCACTCACTCACTCACTCACTCACTCACTCACACTCACTCACTCACTCCCTCCCTCCCTCACTCACTCACTCACTCACTCACTCACACTCACTCTCACTCACTCACTCTCACTCACTCACTCTCACTCACTCTCACTCACTCTCACTCTCACTCACTCTCACTCTCACTCACTCTCACTCACTCACTCACTCTCACTCACTCACTCTCACTGACTCTCACTCACTCTCACTCACTCTCACCCACTCTCACTCACTCACTCTCACTCACTCTCACTCACTCTCACTCACTCTCACTCACTCTCACTCACTCTCACTCACTCTCACTCACTCTCACTCACTCGCACGCACGCACGCACTCACTCACTCACACACTCACTTACTCACTCACTCACTC